AACTATAAATACTATCATAAAAAGAGTTAGAATATTTTGAAAATTTTACCACGTCAAATTTTTAGCTCAATAACTCATTTGTTTTATTAAATTATTATTACGAGTAGTTTTACTCTTTAAATAAACTAAATTTTGTCTACCTATGTCAAAACAATTGCCATTAGAATTCTATAGTTTCATTTTATTATTCTACGTTTTTTTATACCTGATTTAATAATACTTTGTCAATATTTTAAGAATATTAACTTACTGCACAACAATATTATATTATATTTTCATTTTTTGAATAATAAAATACAATATATAAATATAATATCTATCACGTATTACCAGTGGCACGCATACCATAGTTTTAGAATCACCGTTCTAAATCATGTACTGAACCTGGTAATTTGCATAAACGTGCAAAATGTGGAGAATTTTGGAGCTCGATATATAAAATGAATATCAGTGGAAGCAATTTTCAAATCTGCAACAATGCGGATCGCGGGAATATTTGTATGCTCTTTGGCCAGTAGTTTGAACACGTTGCCATACCCTTATTAATAATAATAATATCCCTTGAACGACATTCCAGCTGCCCTTCATTGTTCGCTACCCTCTATACAGCTGTATAGAGTTTACGCAGTACAATTGCATTGTCGTTTTCCTGACTATACGTATACTTTATCTTATAAAACTAAAATTTTTTAAACCATTGTTATAACCTTTTCGTGTGTTTAGTAGCATCGTTGTGTATCATAATTTCTTCCGTCTTGTTCGTTCGATCGCGAAACGTGTCCGCGTTCGTATTGTCCGTTTTGTCAAACAATCGAACACGTAGCTTCGAGACGAGTATTCGGAATTTCAATCAAACCGCCGCCGCCGCCGCCACCGCCTGATATACTTGTACAAAATGTTTCCGCGTCGTGGGCTTCATATCAAATACTAAAATCCAAATAAAAATTGCTGGTAAGAAATAAAAAAATAAAAATGAATAATTTNTATAAAACTAAAATTTTTTAAACCATTGTTATAACCTTTTCGTGTGTTTAGTAGCATCGTTGTGTATCATAATTTCTTCCGTCTTGTTCGTTCGATCGCGAAACGTGTCCGCGTTCGTATTGTCCGTTTTGTCAAACAATCGAACACGTAGCTTCGAGACGAGTATTCGGAATTTTAATTAAACCGCCGCCGCCGCCGCCGCCACCGCCACCGCCGCCGCCGCCACCGATTCCATAACTGGTAGAATGATATGAGGCGAGGGGTTAATATAGGTTTCATTGTAATTTGCATGGTTGAACATTAAAGGGTAAAATGTTACAAGTTAAATTAATTTAAATCTCAATCTTTTAAAATAATTTAAAAAATAACAAGTTTAAATTAAAATGCGACACGATAAGTTAAATTAAAATGTATACATTTTAAAAAAATATTTAAAAAATTATAGTTTTTTATTGTAGTTTTTAATTTTTTTTTTTATATAACCGGATCTATACTCCACTTAAGTACAAACCCTAAGTATTTAAAATTTTTCATTCTTATTAAAACCAAATCACTATTCGATTATTTTCACTTAAGAAAATAAAAATGTTAAAAAATAAAATAAAATAAATTTTATTTATTTATATACAATCCTGGTTTCTCATTACAAGCAGCAAGTATAACAGACCAACCGAAAATGGAATCAAAAAGTAGCAGTAATTTTAGCATAAATAACAGATCGAGGTATATAGGATCGTCGAATATACAGTTAAGGTACCTATACCAGTAAATAAAATATGTAATAATAGATTTTAAGCAAATTAAATATGTTATTTTATTCGTATAGTGTTAACGAGTTGCACGGTCATGAACCTTCGAATTCTGAACAGACGAATTCCGAAGATTCTCGCAACTTGCGGTAAGTGAAAAACTACTTTGAAAAATTAAATACATCTATAAACTATATACTCATCGTGTAACCTTTTGATTTGAATAGTGGTGATGGAAGTGGAACGAAAAGATCTACGTCTTCTATTCAGCCAACAGCGAGAAAAGTGTATATACAAACACTTTATTCACAGAGGTAAAAAATAAATATATTACTATACATACAATTAAATGGAAATTTGAATAAAGGTTCTCATTTCAATTTCAAAAGTTGATTCATAGTGTCCCTCGAGCCATCCCCTCGGAAAACAGTAACCTTCGGAACATTTTAACGTCCTAGTGTTTTGGTCTAGTGGTCAATACTTCGATTATAATTTAATATGTAGCAGGTTCGAACCCAATATAAGTTATTAAAATTTGCAAAAAAAAATTCAGCTATTGGCGTGATGTAATATTCGTAAATTGAAAACGTTGTATAATATCATATCTGTAATAAGATTTTGACGCTTGTACATGTTGATTGTTGGACGATTTGATAAGTTAGTAAATAATCCGTGGTAATAAACTCATGCGAAGTCGAAATTAAAAATTAGTGCGATCATATGATTGATACATAGATCAGAACATTAGGACAATATTAACCCAATCCAATCGTGTATAAAACGTAATATATGAAAAAAGTGTGAGAAAAAACAAAAAAAATTGGTGGTAACTGTGTATGTGATTGGATTTAGAAAACTATTGCAAATTTTTTCTATATTTTTAATTCGAATTTTTTTATTTTCCATTTTTCGTTTTAAAAATTTTTATTGAAACTTAGTTTAAAAAAAATATTTTCTATAATAAATGGAAAAATTTAAAATTAAATTAAATAGCGTCACCCTTAATAAATTCATCAAATTAAGTGATTTAGAAACTGATCAGATATATTTATGTAAATATTTTAGTATTGATAAAACAAGATATGGTGACAAATTAAGTGTTATTTTAGATGATAAATTTAAATTATTTTTACCTGATAGATTTTTAAATAATTTTTCTCATAAAGAAATTGAAACAATCAATAAAATTACACAAAAGCAAATATTTTTGGTTTGTAAAGGTGTAAAACAACTTAATAACAATAAAATATTTTATTTGATTGAATTTGAATATTATTATAATACATAATATATTATTATTATAATATCTTTACAGTTAAACTAAATTTTATCTGTGTTCTATAATTTTTATATATTCTTTCTAGTACGCATTTTTAAATTTATTTTAAATTAAAAAATATTATTTATAATAAATGAGATTTACAAAGTTAAAAAATTCTATATTTGGAGATAATTTATTTGTTGGTGTTTTAGGTTTAAGTATTACTTCAAATTTAATAAATATTAAAATAGATTGTTTATTAAAAGGTGAAGGTAATATAATTGAATTAAAATCTGAAAAATATACTATAGATGAATTAAATAAAATTGTTGATATTAATAATAATTAATAATTTTTATTGAAAGAGATAAAATTAATATCGAATCTAATATTTTTTTTAAATTAGACGAAAAGTTAAATAAATATTTAGGTTTTGATCTTAAAAAAGATAAGTATTTTAACACAATGAAAAATACTATAGTTGGATATATTCCATTGAAATGTATATTATCTAATCTGGATGATGAGATTATACAAATTAATCAAGAATGTAAATTTATTATTGAGAGAAACGGACATATACTAATCAATACATTAACAGTTGGATTGTATTCATTAAAATCTCTTGAAAAAATATTTAATAGTTACCCAGAACAAAGTCTAAATAAAACCACAAAAGTTACACATGATAACGGATTATTGAAAATATCATTTCCATTTAATATTGGGTTTGATTCATATTTATTTGATTGTCTAGGTTTTGAATATAAAGTAAATGATAACGATGTTACAAAACCTAATGGAGAAAAATATTCAAAATTATTAGGCTATAGATGGCCTTCTCAAGAAGATATTGAGACAGGAAAAACATTTTTTACTGCAACTGCTGAAAAAAAAAACAAATTTAAATAATAAAAAATATTTAAGCAGCATAGGAGGAAACATATATTTTGATAATGGTTTAATTATTAATATTTATAGATCGAACTATACTATTGAACAATTAAATAATATTTTAAAAATGAACATAAAAGTTTCTGATAATGATTTAATTGAAATTAATATTGATTGTTTTATATTTAATTAACTTTTAAGATGATGTGACACATTATATAACATATTTAATAACTTATGTGATGTCTCGTGCTTATCACAATATTATCATAATCTTATCATAGTCTTACCTCATCTCCTTTTTTAGGAATACAATATGTTATATGCTTACAAATTACAATACTTAAATATGATGCTTACTAACTAAACAATACAAATACTAATTACTAGTTCTTAAGATTCTACAAATTAAGTTTATTTGGTTTTTTAATTTGTCTACCAGCTCTTGTTCTAATACACCCTGTCACTTATTTTTTCTTACTATCCTCTAGTTGTTTTCTGTTATTATTGCCAGTGATTAACATCTGACTCCAAGAACCTTTATTCTTATTACTGTCATCTTTATCGTTATCTTTCTTACTATCATAATCCTCTTTTTTATCTATATTCATAACATCATCATTAATTAACTTGTCCTTAATTTTAAATTTCTTTTTTATATAACAATTATTTTTTCTCAATACTTTCCCTTTTGCATTTTTCACATAGTATGACCTGGGCCATTTTGTTTTCTTTACAATCTCTCCTCTATCCCATTATTTTTTAAAATTATCATATATATAAACTTTTTCACCTTCTGTAAATTGTTTTTCCTCGGGCCCTGAAGTTTTATCATACCAATGTTTCTGATAATTTTTTTGTTTTTGCATTTCTCCAGCACAATTTACTAATTTTGGTTTAAAAAT